AGCCAACCTAAAGGCACTTTTTAGAGCCAACATCTATCTATCTATCTATCTATCTATCTATCTATCTATCTATCTATCTATCTATCTATCTATCTATCTATCTATCTATCTATCTATCTATCTACTGTATCTATCTATCTATTTTCAAAACTTGTGTCCATATATGTTACTGTCTCTGTTATGTGTCTCTAAATCATAATATCTGTTGTCTTTATTTTGTTAACTTTACTCTCTCTCTCTCTCTCTCTCTCTATCTGACTACTTGTCTGTCAAAAATCAATTCACATTGTAAAAGGAAGCAGCCTGTGAAGCAGAGGCTGAAGAAAAAAGCTTCAGCAGTTGGAAGCAGGAGGAATGGGTGGTCGGTTGAAAGAAGAGCCACAACAATGCATCCAAAGATGAAGCAGTTGTTATAGTATGTACTTTTTAAAACTGTTTTTTTTTTTTTTTCAGAAAAAAAAGTCAAACATTGAATGCGCAGTGCATCCGGAAAGTCTTAGCGTCTCACTTTTTCTACATTTTTTGTTACAGCCTCATTCTTAAATGGATTAAATTCATTTATTTCCTCAAAATTCTAAACATAATACCCCATAATGACAATGTGAAAAAGATTTTTTTGTAATTGTTGTTTTTGTTGTAATTGTTTAAATCCTGAAAAATCACACGTATTCACAGTCTTTGCTCAAAACTTTGTTGATGCACCTTCGGCAGCGATTACAGCCTCAAGTCTTTTTTAAGATAATGCCCCAAGCTTGGCACACCTGTCTTTAGGAATTTTTGCCCAATCCTCTTTGCAGTATCTCTCAAGCTCTACCAGAAATGCCTACTCGTCCAGCTGGGACTCGAACCAGTGACCTTCTTGCTGTAAGGTGATAGTGCTATCCACTGAGCCACCGTGCCACCCTTCTACATTAATAATGTGTAAAATCGTAAAACATCTTTACAATGTGGAGCGTTCACCCTTTCGGCTGTATAATCAGTAGCTTCTGCCTTTATTTTGAGTTAATCTGTAGATTGTCACTGTCCAATTGTACAGTGGTCACACAGTTTTGCCAATGTTTGAGCTAATCCTGAGCTAATGTTTAGAGGCCCTCATGGTTTCATCCTTTTGTTTAGTTTTTTCAATGTAGAAGAGTTGGTTTTGTTGTATCAGCCTTTCTTATTTCCTAATTTCACCACAAAGTTAAAAATCCTGTGTGGTATTGCAGTTTTTCTCAGTCACTTTAGTAGGTTTCTCAGATCAAAATTGAAATGAGCAAAACAGGAAGTTCATTTCTCAAAACAATACGTACAAAAAGCAAAACACCATGGATTATCTGCATAAGCCAGTCTCTTGAATCCTTAGTTCATCTCTCAAAACTAAATTTCTGTGTCAATGAATGTGTCAGTGCCATCATAAAGACAAGTCCTTGTGTCATTGTGTACGGATAAGACAGTCAGATCATTTAGTCTTGTTGTCCATAAAACATTGTAGGGGTCTCCTGGTGTAAACGATTGCAATATTTTTGTTTGCAGTTTGTACTGTAATTTGATGACAGATCATGTCATTGTGATACAGAAAGACAAATGCAGCACCGCATAGCACAAAAAAACAAAAACAAAAGTAGAAATGTGAACATAGGACAATCTCAGATGCCATTTCATCAGAAAAAGTCAAGATTAACCTGGGAAAATGTACAAACTGTAGACCAGGGGTCACCAACCTTTATGAAACTGAGAGCTACTTCTTGGGTACAGATAATGTGGAGGGCTACTAGTTTGATAAACACCTCTCAAATCACAAATTTGCTCAATTTACTTTTAATTATACTTTATGTTTTTGGTAATAATTAATGATATTCATCCATGTGAAGACACTGATCATGTTAATGATTCTCACAAAAGTTATCAGCAATGATTTAACAGGGTGGGAAATACCCTGTATTTAATGTATCAATGTGCAACACTTTATTTTTATATATCTCTGCCAATATTTACATTTTTAAATGATTACTTCTATATTAGATGAAGCTTACTGGTAAGTGCCGCTATGGTGAGCTATTTTTAGAACAGGCCTGCGGGCAACACATGTGATCCTCGCGGGCACCATGTTGGTGACCCCTGCTGTAGACAGATTTAGAAAGAAAAGTCTAATGGAAATGTATAGATAAATGCATTATGACAACATATGACAACTTGGAAGTAAAGACTTATGCAATGAAAAAACGATTAAATGTTTTGGGGGTAGATTAATTCAACAGAAACCAAAATAATAAATTTATAAAAATAATAAATTTAGATCAACATGACATAAGCAGCTGATAATGTAGTAAACATCAGAGAATTGCATATAATCATTTGCATGGTCGTGCAAAAGCATTTGCAATTTGTTCAAAGGAGTCAGAAGCTGCTTTTCTGATGTGCACAAGTGACACGATGATGTGGAGGTTGAACAGGTAGTTTTGAGAATTTCAATTCTGATCTGAGAAATGGACCAACGCCACTGAGAAAAACTGTAATTGGTATGCGGTCATCAGAGATGCTTGACTGAATGTTGTCAATAATTAATAATATACACATATTTTTTCTTTTTTGCTTTTCTGTTGCTTTAAACATTAAATACCCAATCTTGTCATTGCAGGTTAAGAAACTCCTCGCCGTTGAGTACTAGGCTATTCTGCTTCTCAGCAAGGAGACTAAGAACAAAGAACACAAATGTGAAATATTGACCCCTCGGTGCACACTTTCCACTTATGCCCAAGACTACCTTCAGAAGATTGGCTCATTTTCTCAACACTTTTGTGAAGGTGAGATGCATGCGTGATATTTTTAAAGTCACTATAAAAGACACTGGGTTCCACACAACTCCTTTAAGTTTACTTAATTGTTTTTTTTTCTTTTTACAAATTTAAGCGAATTAAACATTAAAAAGTAAGTAATAAACTAATTTGCAACAAGTAGTTTAAACAAGCACATTTTTTGAGTGTATAGTTAACATCTTGTCTTGATGTTTGTCTTGATGTTTACCTTTATGAAGGAGCAGGTGGAGGAGGCGACTATGATGGAGAGCCAAGTGCAGCAGGTGACCATTTAAGGAGCAGGTGGAGGAGGTGACCTTGGGCACGACCATTTCTCCTATGACCAAACGTCTTGTGCAGAGCTGCAGTTTAGGCGCCTGAGGCTGGAGAACGCTAGACGTCCATTGTGGAGAAGCTGAAGGTGGGAGTGGTCCCCAGCTGGTGTACAGGCTGGCCCTTCAGGATCAATGCGAGGACTCGTCTGTCACTGGAGTCTTACAGGAATCAGTCTCATGCTCTCCACTCCTCCATGACCACCACAGCAGCTGCTCAGGATACGGCCTGGCTCAGGATTTTAGAAACCTTGGGATTAATAACAAAAAAAGACTAACATACAGTAAGTGCAGATGCCGTTCAAATTATAATGTCTTTTAGGAAGTGTTCCTGGCTCCAGTTGCCCTAAATAATGCAGCATAACAATCCTTTAGAGGAGAGGTTCTCAAAGTGGGGGTCGGGACCCCCCGAGGGGTCGCGGGACAATGAAGGGGGGTTGCCTGGTGATTTTCAAAAATCAATTAATTTGTATTAAACCTTAAGACTTACTGTATTTTATCAATAACCTACTGAAGAGGAAAAAAATAGTCGTTTATAGTTAATATAAACTATATAGTTACTATAGTAGCTTATAGTTACTAGTTCTATTGGATTGCGACTTCTCGGGTAATTACATTATACTAAAGACACCAAGTACCAAGTACCAAGCCCTCTATAAAACAAGTGAGAATTTGGCCAGAGGGAGCTATGTCTGAATTACAGGACTGCTTTGATCGCACAGACTGGACTGTGTTCAGAGAGGCCTCCACAAATGGCCAAGGCACAGATATGAATGAATATGCTGATGCTGTATCCAGTTATATTTTTAAGTGTATGGAGGATGGCTGTGTCACTAAGAACATTAAAGTCAGAGCGAATGAGAAACACTGGATGACTGCAGAGGTGCGGACTTTGCTAAAAACAAGAAACTCTGCTTTCAAGTGTGGGGATGCAGCTGTCCTTAGGTCTGCTCGGGCCAATCTGAATAGGGCAATCAGAGTGGCAAAATGAGCCCATGGAAATAAGATTAAAGAATACTTCCAGGACCACAAAGACAATTTAGGGGCCCTATCATACAACCGGGGCAATGTGGCGAAAGGCGCGGCGCAATACTCTTTTGCTACTTTTAGCTCGGCGCAAGGGTCATTTTGAGGTGTTGCGCCACGCTGTTTAAATAGCAAATGCATTTGCGCTCAAATGTGCGCCCATAGGCGTTCTGGTCTAAAAAAGCAGGCGTGTTTTGGCGCGTTGCTATTTTGAGAAACTGTAAATAGTCTGATCTTTAGACCAGAACAAAGTCGCTCTGTTGTCTGGCGCAAAGTGCACCTGGCTTACACACTACAAACAAGATGCAGAGCAATACGCAAATATCTTTACATATGAAAAATATATAATATCTTAAGGATATATATATATATAATAAGGATATTTACAGGATATAAATAAAAATGACTAAAATATTACGAAACATATTAATTTCTAGCCTACATGAAGATTTAAAAACCACTGCCTTACTTTCTTCCTCTCGCGAGGCTTTTTCAGTTCATTCAATTTGCTTTTGTATAATATTATTATTATTAGCAGTATTATTTATTATATCCATATTTATATTTGTTTTATTAAAAACAAGCTTAGATTTGTCCACCTGTCAAATTTTAGACAATATGGGGCATGGCAGGTGTATTTGGATATAACTCAGTATTTTGAGCACACTTTGTTATTATTGTTCATTTATTCGTTTGCTGGAAATTAGAACTGAATTTAGAAATAGTTTTGAAACAAATCTTTGCGCGTAACTAACGAAATTAATTATTTATAGGCTAATTGATGTCTGTGCGTAAAGGTTTCCCTATCCACGAGAGCAAAAGCGAAAGTGAACTTACTTTACGTCAAAATGCGCTTATGCCGTGACGCAGCTGGCTCTTAAAGGGAATGGGAGATGAGGCTTTAATTGGTTTATTCTCAAAACACACCTATAACTCATTAAGAAAATAAACTCAACCCTTTTAGACCATGCGCCATGGCGCAAAGCGGATTTTCCCGTCCTTAAATTAGCAAAAATGCATTCTGACACGCCCTGAAAGTGTTTGCGCCCTGCGTTTTGCGCTCTGCGCATGGATCGTCAAAATAGAGCCCTAGAAGTTTATGGCAGGGTATTCAGTCTGTCACAGACTATACAAGCATCTCATTGTCCTGTGAAAACAACTTTAACTTACTTAATGATCTTAACAACTACTTTGTAAGGTTTGATGCTGTTAATAATACACCAGCAGTGAAGGCCACATTGCAGCACGACGAGCAGGTGCTAAGCTTTGATATTACTAATGTCCGCAAGACCCTAAAGAAAGTAAACGCTGGTAAGGCGGCTGGGCCTGACAAAATACCAGGCAGAGTACTCAAGGGGTGTGCAGAACAACTTGCGCCTGTACTGACGGACATAATTAATATCTTTCTGCATCAAGCTGTTGTGCCATCATGCTACAAAACATTTGCTATCATTCCAGTGCCAAAAAGACCTTCAGTCACTTCTTTAAATGACTATCGGCCGATAGCTTTAACTTCACTGATAATGAAATGCTTTGAGAAACTGGTAAAAAGTCATATCACCTCCATCCTGCCTACTTCACTTGACCCATTTCAGTTAGCCTGTCGGCCAAACAGGTCAACTGATGATGCTATATCCACTGCACTGCATCTGAGTCTTGAACACTTGGAGGGTAGAAACACATCGGTACAGGTGCTGTTTGTTAGTTTTAGCTCTGCTTTTAATACTATTATTCCTCAGCACCTGGACAATAAATTAGCATCTCTAGGTCTTAATACACCTCTTCGGAACCGGATTCTTGACTTTCTGACAAATAGGCTACAGTTTGTGCGAGCGGAGGGTATTTCGTCATCTACCACTCTGCTCAATACAGGCTCCCCTCTGGGGTGCGTCTTGAGTCCACTGCTATACACTCTGATGACCCATGATTGTTGTGCAAAACTTAGCACTAATCACATTATTAAATATGCTGATGACACCACAATAGTGGGTCTCATCCAGGATAATGATGAGAGGAACTACAGGGAGGAGGTAAAGCTCTTCACAGAGTGGTGCAGGGATAATAATTTAGTTCTTTGGCCATGTATCTTTGGCCATGTATATTATATATATAATATATTATGTATATTATCAGGAGTCTCTCTCCTGATAATATATGGACCTAGACTGGGAACGACACAGAAATATATATATATATATATATATATATATATATATATATATATATATATATATATATTTTATTTATTTTTTTTTTCTTTTATTAACATTTTTTAAAAACTAAATATGAAAGCTAAGTTAATGTATACCAAAGTGAGTTATAAACTCACTTGATAATATGCAGAATTGATACACTCACCAAACAATTTCAGATATGCAAAAGCCCACTTGCAAATTAATTTAGATTCATTTAATAAGAAAAATTAAATACACAAATAGTTGGAAAGTTTAATGGTTAATTGTAGCCTAGTTATACATATTCATATAGAGAGATGCATTTTGTTCTATTGTTTATATATAAAGTTGCATTTTGAAAATAACAAAATTATAACCAAACAATACAGTGTAACATGGAGTAATGATGTGCTTTGATAAGAATGCAGTGGTATTGACTACCAGACAGCTGCTGAACATTTAGACAAACAATTTACTTCTTTCTAAAATTCAAAGGACCATTTAGCTACCTGACAAACAAAAACCCAGACAACATTAGATTTTTTTAACATTGATTTATTGACAACAATATCACTAGATTGCCAGTTTTCTTTAAATGAAGCTGAATCCTTGCATCAAAAAAAAAAAAAAAGTTATGCATAAGTACTCTGCAAAAATTATTTTCTTACTTAAGTCTCAGACTTGTTTCTAGTCCAAATATCTAAAAATTCTCAGAAACAGTAAGGAATGGAAAAAGAAAAAAAAATTCATGCCATTTTACATATTACCTGGACGTATGCGAAACATATCAAAATAGTTTTTTTATTTGATTTATGATTTAAGAATTATAACTTGAGGTATAACAAAAGTCATAATATTTGAAATGTTTTGTTATTTGCAGCTACAAATTGTGATCCTGACTTTCCCATATTTAGCATATATAATTATTTTCTTTGTAACAAATTGTTACAATAAATATTATGAAACAATAAGTGATAAACATTATGAATGCATGTACAGTGCAAACTTCATTGCCAATATATAAAATGTACTGTATAGCTAAATGAACACAAATAAGTAGACCATTTATAATTTTTGACTTTCTCTATGCATTTATAGATATATGATCGTTTAATTGTTTAAACTAGAACAGGATTGCATTATATCAAATGTAATTGAATGCAATGCAATTTTAAAATTTTGAATAAAATTCAATTTTCATATCTGTTTAGATTTATTTCAATATTTAAGAAAGGCAAATATGGAGGAATAATGTAGTGTAGATTTGGCTGACTACCCAGACCACGCAAGTGTATTGTCTAATCTATGAGAAAATATATATCTTTAAATTAGTTATTAAATATATAATAATTACTCCCTTGCTGAGACAAAAAAGTCAATGAAAATTAGCCTACATAACACACTTTCTTATGTAGGTTAATGTTCTTTTACTTTTTTTGTTGATGTAGAACATGTAGCTAGCCTGCCTGCACATAGTTTGCTAAAATTTTAGTCAAACTAACACATTGCTGTTATATTACACCAATGGTTGGGTGTGATAAAGCTCTGGAGGCTTATACTGTACTGTACTCTCTCTACTGGACGCATCAGGAACAACAGGGGTTTAAAACTGCCTGGGCCGTAGATCTGTCTGGATCCAAGTCTGCAGTCTCCCCCTTCTCTAATTATTTGACTGAATTTTTATTTTCCTATTTTTACAGGAATAATCTAAATTTTAACGTAGAAATATGAGTTACTCTCTAAAAATACATACAAATCTTTCCTTTAAAAAAATAACGTAATACCAAATTACAAGCAATAACTGAAAATTTAATGTTAGAATTTTTTATTACAGAACAGATGTGTAAAACAACAGGTATTTCCCTGTATAATGAAAAAACTGGAAAATTCTGTAAAAAAATACAGACAATTATCTAGAAAATGACGTTTATTTTTACAGTGCAGTTCTGAAGAGGCAATAACACCAAACTAATCTGATAAGGGGTTCAAATGAAGAGATTTAAAAGACAATGAAGAGCTTATAAAGACATTAAAAAGAATAAAAACAGCACACAACTTCTCAAACTGCAACCATAAAATGGTCAGAATACTCCCGCTTGTTTGTTTGTTTGACAGTTTTGCACACAATGCTTGCTATTGCAGCTAATACAGGCTCAGAAATGCAACAGCTTCCCACAGATAACTGAGGTTATTCTCTTCGGCCCCTCAAAAACAAGAATGTCTTATATTGGGGGCTTGGGAAGTCTTACACCATATGTTAAATCTCAAGTAAAAAATGTAGGAGTTATCTTTGATTGGGAGTTTTGTCTAGAAAAATTGTATTGTTTTATGTTCAATCCACTTAACTTTGTAAAAAGTATTAAGTTAACTGGGTGGCACAGTGGCTCAGTTCTCAAAATCTAAAAACTCCATCACATGTATGCTTGTACATCAAACACATTCAGCTCAGTAACGTTAAATCCAGCTAATCTGTGTTAAATCTACAAACGTTGTCATTTCTTGTTCCTGAATGTTCTCATTTGAAACACACAGTAATCAGCAGTAATCCACATTTAAAAAATAGAAGAAGCACTTATTTTTGACAAATGTGACTTTATTTCAAACTTTAGTACAAAATTCATCATTGTCATCAGTTGTGAGGCTTGTCGCCCCAGACTAATGTCAGTTTTTGTCCGTGTTCAGCTCAGCACCACCTTCAAGATGGGCAGTTTCCAGTGGCACCACGTGGAGGAACGGACATCGCCACCTATATATACAGGGTTTGGATTATCACTCACCATGAACTACAACTACACACTAAATCACTAGTCAATAAATGATGTCCTCCAACCATAAATCATATACCACATTAGCAAAACATTAGACTAGAGAAGGTTGTATATGAGGACAATATTAAAGCAAATACTAAAGGTAGTAACTTTATTCATCTTCAGAACACAAATGAAGATATCTGAATGAAAATAATGAAGATATTTTAGTTAAATCTGAGAGCTCCTTAATCTCTCATAGACAGCAAGATTCCTGACTATGAGGATAATTTTATGTGCACATAAAACAAAAATAACTTTATTCAACAGTTTCTTCCCTCAGTGTCAGTATAGGGCACGCGTTCACGTGTTGCGCCTCTGACATATAACCTTGGATGTGCCTGTGAAGTTTTTAAGAGAGGAAGTCAGAGAGGAAGTCGCACAGGCATCCGTGGGGTATATGTCACTGCACAGTGCTTGTGAACGCGTGCCCTATAATCACACTGAGGAGAAGAAACTGTGAATAAAAATGTTTGTTTATTATTTTTCACTTTTTATAGTTTTATTTATTAATGATGTTTTTTTATTTATTTATACATATTTTTTACTTTTTTTTAATTGTTTTATTTATTAATGATGTTTTTATATTTTTCTATTTTAAACTTTTTTATTGTTTTACTTTATTAATTGTTTTTCCAGTTTTTTTTCAAATTGGCTGGTGAGTGATAATGTTCATTGGAAACCCTGTATATATATCAGTTGATCCCAGTAGTCTTTGTTCAGGAGTCTCTCTCCTCTGGCTCAAATTACATTTCTTAGAGAGAGACACCCAAAATATATGGACCTGGACTGGGAACGACTGAGATATATATATATATATATATATATATATATATATATATATATATATATATATATTTTTTTTTTTTTTTTAGTATTTTTTT